TGTAATCAAATGCTGCATGTCCTAATCATCCTAATCATTATCAGTTGTAAGAACCACGTGCTTGTCATCCAGTGGTTACAGCTGCTACAGTTTTAGCCACCAATAATTTGGAGAAGTGATGTAGGTTGCTGCTCACTGAAGGCGGAAGCTGATAAATTAGTGCGTAAATATACGACTGACAGTGAAATTTTTTGTTAAGGAATTGGGAGCTTTGGATTGAGAGCAATAGCTTGGATCCACGACGCCAATGAAGGCGCGACTGGGCCATATCTGACAATCTATCAAACCATTGGGATTCTTCGCCTTCTTTATATATATACGCTCCGGTTCAGGTTCCTTTTCACGTTTTAGTATGGATATTTCTTGCTTTGTTTCGTCTTCCGACGGGCAGTTAATGCTAACATTCCGCTTGTCGGTATGCATTACTTCTACAGGCTGCTTCAAGAGGCCCACATTTCCACTCGACGTTATTGCGAGTAAATTACTGAGTCGGCTTTCCAATTATTGTTCCACTGACTACTGTTCGCCAAGGGCCGGTCGATTGTATCAGTTACTATATGACCAAGCTGTGTCTCGTAGCAAACGCCTCCATTTTTTGGGGTCCAGTTGTCCACCAAATTTCTTAATCTTTCCTTAAACCCTTCGCTAAGTGGCATTTGAAGGATTTGAGCGCTCCGCCGTGCTCATTGCCTGCTGGTATGGGTTGTATGGCACCATCATTATGAGTAATCCCCACGACATTCACTGGTCTTGCGGTCGAATTAGAGAAGTCGAACAGACAACACAGAAAGCCGCTAAAATAACTCCTTTCACATTTTGCTATGCTTCATTCAGGTGCAGTACAGTATTGGTTTACTGTGATGGGTTGTTGGGACAGTCCAGATCGGAACTGTTAAGCAATGGTGGTTCTTCGAAGACAGTGGACTGGCATTCTCCTTACGGATTTGCGAGAGTTTGAAGGGAAGCAAACTACCGGGCGTGCGCTCATCAGGACATGATTAGAATCAAGAAAGAACGGTAGTCCTGAATTGTAGCTCTTCACTGGTGGCTAGCGGCCACGTGATCGAACTGGGAACACGGTGATTTGCAGTCGGTTACCACAAGGTTACGCGATGCGAACGTTTATAGAGAAAGTTTGTACCGGCCAAAACAGTTCGTGATCAGCACATAACTGGAGGAGTCGATCTCCATTGTCTTTGCAATGAGCATTGACTCCTAATCGACCGCTCAAATGTGACTTCGAGATGCTCGGACGACCAGCTTCAGAATTTGTATAGTCTGTGATGGTCCCATTATTGGCGCTTCTTGCTTGGCGAATGAGCCCGGTTAATTCTCGATAGAAAACATCTTTCTCAGAATCAAAACTGCAGTCCGTTGGAACATAAGCTGACACTACAAACAGGCACTGCTTTTTATGCCGGGAGGGACTGAGCATGATTGAGCTGGAAAACCGCACGCCGCAAATACTATTGTTCACTGAGATCCAATCCAACAAAGCGCATTCAGCTGTGGGGTCCAGCGCAACTCGCGCAGCACATATACCACGAGTGGTTGCTTCTGGATCACCGGACACACGGAGGGAGAAATGTGAAACAGCTGTTTGTCCTTGATGTTTTGAGATGTATACCCACGCTTGAGTTTTGTATGCGTGTTTTGGAGACATCAAGGGAGTATAAGGTTTCACCGAGCATATCCTGTCTGCCAATTTGACACAGAGTACGAAAGTTAAAAGGATATCCTGGATTTAAGTGTTAATTTTCTTATTATTAATGGGCACTGGGGTGAATATAGTCCTTTGGTAGGATAACTGACAGTCAAATGAACTAGCAACGTTTGCCTGTGTGGTGGAAATAGATTGGGGAGGGACATCGATGGAACATAAATGTATGGTTTCCCAAACTTATGGAGGTTGGTTGAGGTATCCTGTTTTGAGCCTTTGATTTAGCAGTCCGACCCATGAGCCAGTGGAAGGTAGGGTTTTCTTTGGGGAGCCTGGCCGGAGTTGATGACTCTATAGTGGGACCTGTTAAGCTGAAGGGGTATGGCCTAACACGATAGTGAAGGGAACAGGGTGTTACTGTCTCATTCCTCATACTGCTGCGCGCAGCAGGTGCCTGTCGAACAGCACCAGACTCTTTGAGTTTAAAGGCATTTCGACCGTATCGAACGTTCGTTTGAACGGTCGTTCACCTGTGGTGTGAATATGAACAAAATGCATATCTCGAAAAACCCCAACTGAAGCCAAAATTGGTTCGGTGAATTTCAAGCGTCTGTGACGCTACCTGGCTGGGATGTCCTGGCTAGCAGGTCAATCGATCGTCACAACCAGGACGGTTACTTGGTCGTCGTTCGATGGGTGGGGCACACCAATCACATCGCTCAAGCGTGAAAACGTTCGCCTGTTTAAAACTCAGATACGTCCAACGTGCGTTGTTGGGTGATGGTAATGAGCTCGCCTCGCGCATCAGATGTCCGGGATTAAAATCCCGGCACGGTCACTGGATATGCGCCGCTGATGAGCTCTAATAAAAGCGAAACTCGAGGCCAATGCTTCCATTTGGTGTGGATTCGCCAGAAAAATTACACCAGAACAGAAGGACGGCCCTTCGAACGAGAGTGTGCGAATATGAACAAAATACATTTGAAGTTTGTCATGACAGTTCAGGTCCCGTAAGGAAAAGTGCGGAAAACAAAATTGCGGCCAACATTACTATGCGCTAAATTGCAGTACAAAAATACATAGACCAGAACCAATCCTCCAGTTATCACTCCGGTTTCACGTGCTATATGCAGTCAGAATTTAACTTGCTCCCACCAAACCAGCAACTGATTTCAGATTGCCTGGTGACACTCACGTACCGAATCAGGCGGAACAGGCAAGCGCGATTGTACTTCCAATCGAGACAGGTCACTGACGCTGAAACGGTGCCGGGAGGTATCATCCGCTCAAGTGATGAAGCCTCTACTAACGAACTGGGAAATATACCATTACCGGCAAAGCCCAATTTGTCAGCTGCGAATGGTCTGGATTTTGTATCCGATAGTATCTAAGATGACAGTGCACACAGTCTCTGTATACTGGACTCGGAAATGTACTATATATAGAACATCGGCCTCAAGTGCTGCTCAAGGGTTTATCCCTTAGGGATTGCAAAGAAAAGGGAGAGTAAGTAGGTCCATTAGTTGACTTAAACCAGGCCTTTGTGGCCAGTGACTTACAACCAGCTAATTCCTTTGTTGCGAGAGTGATGTGCCGAAAACTCTAACGTACGAGAGAATGATGGGTAGATGGCGCGTAAGAATTGTTGGAAAAGTAAGGGATGAAGATGAAAGGTGTCGTAGCTTATCTGTCTCACTTTATGCAGCAAACAAGGCAAGCCAACTGCGGGCAACCATGGAGTCAGCAGGACGCCGAAAGTATATACGTCTGGTAGCAGTAGACAAACTGTATTCTGCACCTGGTCTTGTTTTGCGGTCTAAGATGATAAAGCGCTAGATGTAGCCTAATACATGATCTTTTCCATGAAACCGGATTACAATATATGCTTGAGGATGTAATTTCTAGTGAAACTTTTGTAGCCTTATCAGTTTCGATTGAATTATTCATCTATCGTGCTAGAGAAAATTTCGATGCAGACTTTAAGGTCAGGATAACAATAACGTCGACAACCACTACGGGTATACCCACCTGTAGTGTGTTATTATGATATGAACGGTAAATAAGAACACTGCTGGCTAGTTGTGCCCAACACTCTGTTCGCTTATACTAAGTAACTTCGCAAATGTGACAAACAATACCCAGTTTACGATGCAGGTATTATGCCCCTGTAATCACGGATGAAACAGCTGTAGAGTACTTTTCGGTTATTCAGTACATATTGGCTTCACTGACAGAATGGAGTCTCCACCGAAAATGACCAAACCTCTTCACATTACCATGAAATTAGACGCATTGTCAAACAGGTAGCTGATATTTACGGTCTTGAGTAAAATCTCCCAGGAATTTTGTTGACCACAGGTCTCAGGCTTCTCTCGGATACGCTGGACGGATACATATAAGCAGCTCCGTTAGCGGACGCCCTAAGTCTGTTTGCTTCTGTTACAATGGGTTTGAGCGAATACACTCGCCTAGGTACTAAGTACAATAAACGTGTTTCGCTTTACGAACCTCTTCATCCCTGTTCTACATAGTAATTGTTTATGTTATCACAACGCTTGCTGGGCATAGTTCTCGTGATAACCTCACTAAATACATCACCACAAATCCTGATAATTACCAAAACCCCAGTGGGGGAGAGATTTTGGTTAGAACGTGCTGATAGTATCAGTGAGAAAGATAGGTTTAAAATCGCATACTACGAACATATCAGCATTCACGTCTGCCCACGTAAGTGCTATAGGTTTTATCGTTTTTACACAATTTCTGTAGAAAATCAGAGCAGAAAAAATGAATATCTCGTTTAAATCATCGTTTGTGGAGTAACATGCACAGAAAATAAACTGTCTCATAAGTCTTGTGAGTCTTTCATCAGTGACTTTAATAATGAACATTCCAGTTGATCCTAAGTGATTTGACGTAAACTGCACGACCGACTAATATTAGTGCTATCATCCCGTTGTTAAGAGACCGCACCACAAACTTTCTTAAAATTTAGCTGCAGCTTGTAGATAAAGATTTCATTGTCACCTTGAAACTGCCCGGCACTGAAATCTGCTTAACATTCGTTCCGTGTATGTGGTATTGAGCCATTTGGGCAACTCTCACCAGTAGTTGTCTACCTCCATTTAGCTAAAGTGGCCTAGCAATTACGGAACACTTTATCTTGTATTTGCCAGCACACATAATTGTCTGCCGATTACTTCTGCTGCATGAGTTTTCAGAGCCATGGTAAACATTCTGGATGCCCACATTCTTTGTACCAATCAGTAAATCTTATGGGAGAGTTTTCATAGCAATTAACAAAGCACTGTCACAAAAAAGTATGAAATCTTTATTTTCTGTGATATAAGCGGAAACTTTAAACATAATAATTCCGTCGCTGACTTTCATTACACATGGGTGACGTTGCTGTGGTTATCAGAAATTTAGAGCACAGACTAGAAGAACAGCTCTGTGTCCCGGCTGAAGTTTTCTTCTGTTCAGATGGGTCGCCAAAATCTAATGTTTGTCCTTCGCACTGGCGGTGGGATGGAACTGTGAAGGACAGCCGCAGCGGTATCCCATTCTGCATTTCTTTCTGGTTTGTCCCTGTCAAAGGAACACACTCAACATATCGGTTTTGATGAGCATCCTCGTTAGATTCGTTACCTTCCAGTAGTTGTGATGCGAGTGATCCGCGCTGTCTTTGCGGGGGCACTTTGTTTGATTGTCCTTGGGATGATGGGTGGGGCACACTTGGCGATGTCTCCGCACAGCATTCACAGTGTGCGATATCATTTTGTAACAAGTGCGATCTTGCAGCGTTGCATAACCTTTAATGAGACGGAAAAGACAAACTGAATGGAAAAGTTGGGTAAACCAACAACTTATTTTTCTAGCAGCAGCACTACCGGTTGAAAAATACCATGAAATGAAAGTTGAGTGAATCGTGAGCTAAGTATAGATAGAAGTAGCAGAATACCCTGAAAGCGAACCTGGGCCCCTTATTCAAAATTCACTCCCCATCCTTCTACGAAGCAAAATTAAAACTGTTGGCAAGTGAGTCGAATGAAATGTGTATATTGGTGATGTTTTTCAATAACCGCTATGTGCATCTACCGTCACGAAGAGACTGGACATTACCGTAGTGTGACGGTTTGCGCACTTCAGCGATCCATTGAGCTATACTGGAGAGTGTTCCGCGACACTCACAGAGCCTCTCATACCAGGTTGGTCAATGGTTAGAGGTCTGACGAACACAGTCTCCTGGCCCTCCAGGTTGGGGGTTGGAACATGTGGGGACTTGTTCCGTAGAAATGGTAATGCATTTGCATTTCCCGTCAAACACCGCTGCCTTGCGGTTAGGCTTTTGAGCCAAAGGTTTTTTTTGAGGACTGTAATCGTCCTCCTGTCTAGATGTGGGCGCTCTGGCAGTATTCCAGCCCACGTAAAACCATGAATTGCACATACACAAATAAACTCGTGCCACATCGGTACGGCAGTGAAGCATCGTTGTTGAACACTGATGTCATGCTGTCGATGATGATGATGATGTGCACCAACTGTTTTTTGTCACTTGTTAAACACATTGAGCTACTCTGATGATCCGTAACTCGTGGTGGCGCACTATATAAGAGCAAAAATTAAATTATCTGTTTGGATATTCCCCACCAAAAATATATGGCACAATTTGTATAACGTAAAGACCAAATGGTTAATGGAACACCGGTAGGTTGTCAAGTGCATCTTAACGATGTGTTGGTGAGTGATTTCTATTAACACGTGCATGGAGTTATTATGCGAAGATGCCGTATTATGCTGAACTCAAAGGAATTGACATCTGGTCCCCCGATGACGAACACTTAACTGACGGGCTGTTGATTATCGACAGGCTTCTGCACTTTGCCCGCCGATCTTTTCCCTCGGGTGTACATGGAGACCATGGCCTTGGCACAGCACAACATTCTGCAGAGTGCGAACCGTCAGAGACTTCCTACTATGAGTCAGTGTTGACTGAATAGACCACGGCTTGGCCATTAAATCCGATCAGTATTCCAGCCATTCAGTATACTAATATACCATAATATATATATAAATGCCTGGTTTTTACCAGATATCGTGAGCATTCGACATATATATGTGTGAATCTTAGGAGAGGATGTTAATTCTATTATTGGGCGTACCACAGCGGTTGATGTCCGAGGCTATGGATATCGTCAAGCATCCCACGTGAATAGAGTAGAGGACATAGAGCTGGCAAGCGTTTAAAGAGCGGTTTTTTAGATCAGCAAAATGGTCTGGATCTGAAAGTACAAAATCCAAAGGGAGTGGAGTAAGGTCAACCATCTCACCCCCAACTCCGACCCAATTGTCCCGCCACCCCTCGACGAATACAGGCGAACAAAATCTGTGACCAACCCAAAGAAGAGTATTCCACTAATGTGCCCTAGACAGAAAAATCAAGGTCGCAAATGCCCGGGTTCAACAGGAAGGTAACTCCCCCCTAACCAACCATGAAACAGCACTAACCAAGTCTGCTAGGTATAAGAAATCTCACGGGTTGGTTCCCTGGCTGCCTTAAAACCCAATCCACCTGCTTACTTACTTGTCCTGACGAAGCTTTTGTGTCTAAAGCAAAACGATGTTTGGCAATAAATCCATTTCTCTGAAAAGATGACTACCCAGTCGATCCCAAACGTTCTTCACTAAGCTTGGGTGGGCTCACTCAAAAAGTGATGCGAGTGTGTTGGCGAACAGGTACTATTTTTAAAGAAATACCCTTTTCATATTGTGGTTCGCCACGATCATAAACGTCTGTACACTGTTATGGGTCACCAAAAACAACAGCATTCCAGAGTGAAAACTTTTTTCCTAAGTTTTAATTTCAAGGTAAGATTAATATTACTATATAGGTGTCTTTGTAAGAGTTTGGAAGTCAACAAAGGAGTATGAAGCTTGTACCGTATATATGTGTATAATACACTTGTACTAAGCTTATATTGAATAATCCGGATAGAATTATGCACCCTGCAACGTTATTACGGAAGTCACACAAAGAATAGTCCACTGGCGCTGTCGTGAATTTCACAATCACGTAGTAATCCAACGGGCACTTTTGTGTAGGATCACACTTGAATGTGAATAAATCTGTCGGAGAGGAAGTGACTTGATAATTTAGATGGCAGAGCACCCGACTGGCAAGCGGTAGCTTGGTGATTCAAGCCAATCCCCAAAAATATTACAAAATCTAGGGAATAAAACAAAAGAAATTTTAAGTCGAAAAAGAAACTCACCGATGGTCCACGACCTCAGCGCAATGGTCATGGAAACTTGTTTCTGGGCACTCTGAACAGTTTGATCTTGATAGATAAATATTGTGCTTAAAGTATGTTTCATTAGTTATTTCGTCTTCCGAAAGGCGGTGTGATGTCTCCGTTAACTGTTCGGGCGTGTCAAGCTGTTCCTCTTTTTCAGGTTGTATAGGAGTCTCTGAAACGGTGATTAAAAGGTCTTGCTCATCAGGATAGGCGCGAAGCCATTTCATAGCGTCCGAATGATCCCAATAGACCACATTTTGTCCATTAAGTCCAATTACTTTCTGGCCTGCTCGAAGACCGACACGGGCAGCTGGAGAATGGGGAAGGACCACATCAATCTGTAGGTCCTAAAATAGTCGGGAAATTAGGCGAATTTTATGGACTGGAATTGAAATTGCGGCTGACAAAATAAAGACCAGCGTGGCCTTTTTATTCCATCCTCTTGAGACGCCGACATTTGCGAGTTGATCAATAAGCTGACCCAGAATTCAAGAAGCTGGGTAAACTTATGTTAAAAGTGTAGTAATCGATACCGACATACTTCGAAACAGAATATGGAGTGATCGAAAGCCAGTTGTGTGAATAAGAGGACTACATTCTGAACGCTTGCTCCATTAGCATTCTTGTAGTGGAATGGAGAAAAAATAAAACTAGCGAGCACTCAGTTTCTTATTGGAAAATTGTCAGTAGCCAAAATGTGCATCAATACTATCTGAGTGATTCTTATCAATCCGGAACGTTAAGTTGTGGTTATTTGAGTTGTGAATATTGTTCTAATGTGCACTTACTTCCTGACTTTTGAGCCGAATTCCAACTTTGCCATCTTGCTTGCGAACAACCATTGTAAGCAGATATGAGGTGAACGGCCTGAAATTTTGATGAGATATAAAAAAATCGTGCAATGTATGTTCTGTATATGAGGACATTTATATCTACCCCATGCAAATCACGGTCAACTGACACTTGGCTTAAACACTTTGTGATTTGGCTTGGTTTGGATTGATATCAATGCGAGTTAAACTGAAAATGTGATAAATAAGCTCCTAATAACGCAACCTACCAAAACAACATAAACCATGTTGAATCTTATCGGTTACTGGTATGGTCCGTTTTCAACAAGAATGAATGGTTATTTGTATATCTGGGAATGACGTTCTATGGTAATGATGAAATCCAAAAAGCGGTGCATATCTAAGCTCTGCCGCAGGAACATATGCGCCAAAACATGAATGGTTATTTGTATATCTGGGAATGCTGTTCTATGTTAATGATGAGATCCAGAAAACGGTGCATATCTCAGCTCTGCCGCAGGAACATATGCGCCAAAACCGGCATTCAAATATTGTTTTAAGTTTCATACTTATTCCGCATTTTGCGACTGGAATTATCAGGAATAAATGAGGCATGTTTGTTCACTGTTTTTCAAAGAAAACACTTCCGGTCCAAATTCAGAAGTTGGCTTTGTTGCCTATGAGTTCAAGAGTTAGGATGGACATTCTGACTATTCGGTTGTAACACAGTTATCAGAACAACGGCTTGTGGAGATCGAGTATATTTTACCTGACTTGGTGACTTGTTTATAGGATTTCCATCGCCAAACGTAGACACAATACTCGCTGGTGCCTCCATAGAACGAGAACACGTAAAACATTTTCTGTTACTTAGGCCTCTCGAAGCTGGCTAAGCAGGTGGTTTATTACTGCCAAAGAGCAGGTTGCTTGGATTTGTTGGGACGAACGCCAAGTCGCAGTGATCTGCACTTTCAAGTTAATACCGGTTGTCCTGCGAGCTTTTGTGTCATTGTCCGTTTATGTGTGTCACGACATTTCACTAATTTCACCTACAGGCCAAGGTCTATGCGTGTGACGTTTCGGGATGGCAGAACCTTCTTACCAAAATATACCTTTGTCCCATGCCTCCACAAGAGCTGCAAACGTTAGGAAGGTCCTAGCGTCCATTTGCATGAAATCCGGACTAACTTTAAAATGAATGATTCGCCAGAGAAGAGTATCCTCGTCATCAAGTTTAGAAAATGTGGTTATCCTTATGTTATCCTGTAATTGAACTTGCTAGATAAGAGAGGTGCTGCACACTGGTGTTGTGCCGTCGATGACGAATGATGATGAAGATCGATCTATGAGTAGGTAACACTTTCACGGAACGGGTAAAACTACCACAGTCCACCTAACTTTAGGTTAATATAGATCTTATCCTGGAATATAAAGTACTAAAATTTTCAAGATGGCTTTATTCAGGGTTGCTGTACGATTGTAATGGATCGTGCTTTTTCCTAAAACCTCCTTGTATGTGTGGTAAACTTACAAGGAAAGCAGCTGACTGTAACTATTATGTTCTACCCGCTTAAGAAAATCGCGCGAAGGGCAGGGGATAATGGAAAATTACAATAAACCACTTATTTACGAACAAAACTCTGTTCCAGCTTCCATTCGTTTGTTTCCTGAAACTTTCGCTGCATTTAATAGGAGTCATATTGAGGCACCAACAAGTTCGATACACTTCACTACAGCGGAGACCATGTACATCCAAGAAAAAATTATTACAAGAGGCGCGATTGTAGCCGGTCCGAGGATGTGCATCTTTTTAGCGAGTCTTGTGTCTACTGATGCTTACTGAGAAATCTTTAATTCCCTGTTTATTAGATCAACCTGAGTCATCCTGTAGCGACCCAGCTGTAAATGACTCGATAAAAAAAATTGACGTTGGGCCAAGCCGTTCGTTTGTTTCCTTATTTTAATACAAATAACTTTCCGGTATCTCAACGAAGGCCAACTGACAACCGCGTGGTGAAATTCATATCATGGACGCTCACTACCCGATAGGCTACTTATCTATGGCATGTGGCTCACACCAGTTAATCCAGGCAGTGGAGTCATTTGTCGAATAAGGGAGCAGAAATACACATCTAGGTTACACTGGACATAAGGGTCATCATATTCTACGCAATGTTTTCTCAATCGAGCATCTGAAATGTTTTCGAATGCCAGTAGCGTACTCACCTCGGCTCGTACGTGAGCTGTAGGATTCGGCTTGTTGTCCGAATTAAATCAATAGCTGATTCCAGAGTCATCGAATCCACACTACTTCCGTTGATAGTTAGAATTCGGTCGCCAACTTGTAGGCCCGCGTCGCAGGCAGGAGAGCGGGGTAAAATCATTGCGATATAAGTAATCTAATGCAAGGAACGTAAAAAAATATTTTATGATGAGTGCTTTTGTCTTAGTATTACAGATATGTTTTTCTCGTCTTAAGTCAGTAGCGGTCATCACAGTAATAGTCTAAAGCAAATGGTAAAGTCCTCGAAAAATTAACTCACAATTAAAAGAACAGAAACCGAGAATGTAATGATTGATGTGGGTCAGGCATACTCGCTATTTATAACCGAGCTTATGGGGGCAAGCTACAAGAAAAAAAAAAAAAAAGACGTGATTCATCAGGAACATAAATATACTTCCGTTATTTGTATCAAAACAACCTCCCTCTGTCAGCCAAATATGATAAACTTGGATCTTTGCGCGTAGATGGAGAACCATGAACACTTTGATGTACTCTAGATGTTTAAAAGCTCTTGAGGCATGTGTAGATCCAAGGGTGATCGAAAACTTAGAAGGATGACAGGATTTATCAGTCAGCCTAATGTTTAGCATTGTTCTGTCGACAGCATGTATTACCTTCTGTTGAGCTCTAACATACTAAACTGCATCACCCTACTACTTTACTTTTGACGGCCTCCCAGTAACGCATGAATAAGGTAGTAATACCCCGCTTGGTAGTGTCCTGTTGCGAAATAGGCTAGTGACATCTTACCAATTAGCATGGCAATATATCACGTAAGAACGTACATCGGTGACGCCTGACGTACTCAGCGTGTGCGGGTGTGAGCACAGTGGTACTTAACTCTGGATATCACGCTGGTCTACATGACAGTGGATACTGCGCCCTTTTTGAAACTTAGGAAGTATTTGGACGCGTCCTCTCTCTGAGAGACACATAATTTGGCCCGAAATCGTATCTCAGGCGCTTATTTAGAGTATTCTGGTCTAAATCTAAATGTGCAGATTTTCAACGTTAACAGAATTCCATACAAATACTGGGATTTACCGCGTATGTGAGTTTGAACTCTTAGGGTGACCGTAGACAAGTTGTTTCGAGATACGAAATTCGTTTACCAGGAGAGGTGAGTTCGCGTCGAATCGTATTCGAACCCAAAGTATTCCTTCCAATCGACTGTGTGGTTCGGATTCGGGTTTGACAACTATTGAGTAGGATATCTCGGGATGAGTCAGCCAAGCACCCAAATATTCCCCTAATAATGTGTTTCGGTTTCTTGCTCTACACTACTGAAAGCAGCACGACAGAGCAGCTTACGTCATTTATAGTATCTTCACACAATTGACGATTGCCTAAGACTCTTTTCTCAAGGACATCGAATGTTGTACTTGATTGCGCAGTTTGTGCACCGGTTCAAATCCATGCATTAGGACTACTGATGGTGTGCCAGTAAGCTATCTGAATTCCATAGATCCTGACGGCTGTCAATCTGTATGCTAAATGTTTGTTTTATGCTGAGTGCTCGTTGCGAACTGATAGAAGACAAGCCTTTTAGAGACTCATATACAGGCCTTAGCTTGAGTTTATTGTAATTTAAATTTATAATGTGAAAATAATACGCAGCCCTCCATTAGCAGCAGCATTCTACTAGTGCGGCAGTTTACTTGTCCATTAGAAGTCTTGAAGCAAGATATCACCCTAAAAAAGTTAAGCTGATATATGGCCTATCGGGATTTTTTAATTGCTGAGCTAACATTTGCATAAATATCATACTGCGTTCAGGTGGCTGCGCAGGTCCGCAACAAGGTTACTCGTGCCAGCGTGAAATTCTCTACTGACAGACAGCTAATTGTCCGTAGGACAACCCACGATGCTCCACCCACCGATTCACAGGACTCAACGAGGATTAAATGTGACCCAGTGATCTTTGACTTCGTTTAAAAACGTACGCTTGTATTTAAGATGCCGCAAAGATTAGGGCGACTGTTTTTCCACTGTCTCAAAGACAACATTCCTCCATCATTCCAGCGGCTAGTTGACTACGCACCGTACAAGGCAGTTTTTCACAGCAGACAGAGAATGCGGTGGCTATCTATCATCTCATACTTCTTTGGCACAAAGGAATCGGCTTTGAATCTTTTAAATCTGGCGGGAGGTTCTCCATCTTTTAGGATAGGAAAATTACGTGGGCGCCGGTCCTTTCCCTTAAACAGCGCTGCTAGCAAGCCATCGTGAATGATTGTCCTTTATGCCTGGCATAAGGTCGGTTGAACTTTCATTGTGGTATGTAAGATAACCAGAGCTTTCTAGCTCACCCTCACATCTGTTAGGTTGGGAAGTGTCCAAAAGTATTTTGGTGTTTTTAGGCTGATAACCAGAGCTAGCTCACCCTCACATCTGTTAGGTTGGGAAGTGTCCAAAAGTATTTTGGTGTTTTTAGGCTGTCCGGGTTGGTAAGGCTTGCTAACTTTATTGCCGTTCCGTTTATTTTTTGGGATCCAAATCAGTCTGCATATGAATGTACCCTTGTCCCGGACTCTGATCCACAATTTGCTCTCCACTTTCCGTAGCTGCCCCGCACGCTGAATGTTTACGTCCCCAAATGGTTTTTCGCCTGCTTCGTATATATCATCTTAAGTTTAGGTGTGTTTTGAATAAATTGGATACTAACTACTCTTTCTCATCAAGTCACTTTCATAACGACAGTTGTTTGATACACTGGTACATACAGCACCTGTCCGTTGTGTTTTATCTGAGTGCTCTTGGAGTTTGACGTTGATAGTTCTGACAGTAATGTACATGAGTAAATCGCAGTATTCTTATGAAACCTGAAGGAGAAAATGTTGACTCAGATTTCTGGATTTAGCGAAGCTTGTTGTGGTGCGTGTTGGTGCCCTTTATTGTGTATGCCAGCTATTAGCTTGCAGTAGTCCACAAAAGCATATTTCATTTATTTTCTGGCCAGATCGACACTAGAGGCTTCAACAAGACACTAGGACTCCATCCAATCGGCTTATGTTTTACCGACTGTGTGCGGACATTGGATCCGTCGTCCCGAACATGCAGATCTGTGTTAACCGCTAGCCAAAGACACTGTCACCCTAACCAACAATCTATGAACTGATTCACTGATCTCGCTGAATTCAACCACGCACAAAATAACAAAAACAGCACCCATCCGATACTCACACAAATGCAGGTTCTATGTGGCATTTTAAATCAGTGTTTGTATACCTACTGGATGCATTTTACTGTCTTGTCTACGGGTCGGGGTAACGTCTTCACGCTCTTGCGTGTGCATTTGGTAAAATCTGCTTTGACTATGTCATTTATTTGGCGACAGTTGTTGACTTCTCCCGTGTAAAAGGTTTGCACCACTAGTCAGGAGGAAAATTATTATTGGCGAGGCTTTCACTTTTTTTTATTTTTTTTTAAAGAAACCTAAATTGAATTATCACGATATTTTGACTTACGACAAGAAAAAAATTATGCGATTACTTTCATACGCGCACGGTAGAAAAATAGTAGCTAACCTGTTCTGGGCTATCAGTTCTTTCGAGTTTCATTCCAAATCGTTGGCATGTTCCATTGCGGTGCAGCACAACTTGGCGTATTTCAGGTGAATGGTATAAATTTGGTGGGAGCATTGTGGGAATTGTCTGGCCCGTACCCAGATCGTTCCGCAGTATGGTTGTGGCTGACTGGTGCAAATGGGCACTTAGTCGCAATAATGCTGATTGATTTCTCCAACAAGAATCACAGTGAACTGGCAAGTTGTTAATGCCTGGTGGTGCATTTGGCGGTTTTGCATTGTTCTGGATTTTTTTCGGCGGTTTAGTTTGATCTGAGGGGATTTTCGTAGTTTCGGATTTAGCCAAATCGAAATAACTGGGAGGAGGTGTTTCATTTCTGGATTTTGGGGAACCAACACGCAGAGAAGTGTTGCTCTCACCGGCTGGCTAAACCGAATAGAAGAGGTTGTAATAAAGTGACATTTTGATGTGAATCAATATATCTCACTATCTTCATCGATTATATATCCATCCATATATCCATCGTCCATTTATAAGATAGAGTGACGGTAGGTTTAAAATCTGCTCCTCCGATAAGATAAATGAGGATGAATTTTTCAGTTGCAGACATCCAACAAAACTTCTGTATGAATGAGACAAACGCACCGGGTGTATAAATTTCAAACTCCATCGTCCACCGCAGTAGATAAGGCACTGCAGTGTGCACTGCACCGCATAGGTGGTACATAAACACAAGTGTAAAGATACCGTTTACTTCTCACCAAAATATTACCGGAGTGATTCTGGTGTTACATCTGTAGAGATTCTCTGAAAAATAAAATCAATTTTATTTTCGAAGCACAGTTTGACGATTAGACACATACAATATACGCCACATTCTTGGGGTGTTTGCCCCATGGAAAGAATCGCCTATTAGCCCTAGGTGATTATGCCAAGTTTCTTCTCATGCATTCTATATTCAGAGTAACTTCATTCTCCAAAACGTCAGTAATGCACAAGTTGCACACGCCGAATGTTTCGATCTGGTAGACAATGAGCATCTGCCACAGGAACGTCAATTATGCCAATCACAACTTTTCAACTTC